CGCATTGGCACTTTTCTCCGGTCTGAATGTGTATATTCACACATACTGTATGTGTTTATGAATATACGAGTATGTGATTATTAGAATATAAATCCAATAACTAACAAGGCCACTAATACATTTTGAAAACGAGGAAAACAACAGAAAAATAACACAAGGACACCGAACAAGTGCTGAGCTTAACCATGCAAAATCATGCTATAAAACAGTCAGCTAACAGGAAAATAGTATGTACGAGTACACAACTACAATACAATGTAACAACTATCGTTAACGTTTAACTTCTCGAATGCATTAATATTTATGGCTGTATGGAAAGCAGTTAAACAGTCAGCCATTACCTGACGAAAACTTTGCAAATTTAAATGCATATGTTATAGATGCATGTATGTTTATACACACACATGTATATTGTATATTACAGAAATATCATTTTAAGCTTAAAAATGTTCAATATATGTATCGGATTAACAAATAAGAACGACGCGACCCGAGAAATTCCTACCCAGCCTGTTTTCTCTCCATTGCAATCGAAAACCAATTGCTTCGTTTGTAGCTGTGCGTGTGAAGCTTAAAACTCCGTCCCGCAGTTCTCTTATATCGAGTTGCTGATGAGTGCTCTCAGGGAGCAGTAGTGCAAGTGAAGTAAAAACCCGTTCGGCTGTCTGTTTTTGTGTTCTGATTGCAGCTTTCCGACGTCAAATCTTCCTTGTGTTTTTTGACAGGAGTTTTTTGCTACATAGAGACCGGTATCCCAACCTTTTGTTAAGGTCAGAGTCGATGTTGAGTAATCGGAGTGTGCGCGCGTCAAGAACTCTATGGAAATGTCGTCGGTCTATCACAACATAGTCGATCTGGCGGGATTATAATACTACAGGAAACCATATTTCGAGCACTGGTGGAGTGGATCAGCCTCAACTCATTTTTTTGTCACAAGGACCGTTAATCGCACTTCTAGGATGGCGGTGATCTCAGATTATCCTGTTGTATGCCTTAAGTCGTAGTCCTTAATACGTGTGCAGAAGTCGTCATCAAGAGGAGATACCTCCTCCGAAAAGTTTCCACAGTTTTCATTGGAGATCGTAGGTAATTAAATGGCGAGCTGATTGCTTCAAGACTTCACCAAAGCCTTAATCCGAATATGTCGGAGTGGCTCCACTGAAGCTTGCTCTCTTATAGCAGTGACCCAAGGCGGGTTGGTTATCGCATATTGCAAAAGGGTTGCTAACGTTTCCGAATTTCAGCAATGCTCTCCACGAAAATGCTACAAACTGTCTTTATTTTCTAGAGTTTTGTTTGAATTAGGCAAAGGAAACAGCTGCGGGAGCTTCCCAATTAAACCCGGTTAACTAAATTAAATACCGTTTTAGGCTGCCATTTGTAAAGGCTATAAGTTTGTAGATTTACTGTTAGTATTTATTTCTCATGTCAGCTTTGAACGGTTTGTCTTATTTTTTTTAAGATTTTATATACATATTGTGTGTGTGTTGAATAAACAATCTACGTTTTTATGAATAAAGTCAAGTTAACCAAATAGGTTCAGCAATATTTAATATATTAATATTATTTAACTTACCCTGAGGATAGGAATAAGCAGTTACAGAACTGCAATATATATACATATATATTTACTATATGCACAACTTGTTTGCCTGTATTAACATAAACACATATGGATATGTACAAACATATGTTTCTCACTTAACACAAACAAGCAAACGGCAAATAGGTTTGGGGGATTATATTTGAAAAACATCTTGAAGTCTTTTATTATGTGAAAATACATACAGTATGTCAATTAATTGGTTGCAAAATTATAAAATAAATTCGTAAATCATAAAACATTTTACTTTTCTGTTCTAGGTCTCATTCTAAAGAAGAAATCAGTCCTCTGGATTCCTATTCCTAAAATAAATTAAGAAGAATGAGTCTGATTTTCAACCTCTAGATTGGCTTTACCCCTTAATTTATTAACACCGCAGAGTTCTGGCAAATATATTTTTTTAGACCTTCAAAAGTGGCACCGAGAATTTGTACACAAATGTAAAGGTTAACCTAACACTCAGAGAACGCAAATATGTAAATATATGTGGAATAAATAACACAACTCTACTAATATTTACAATTTCATAATTCATTTATTTCATTTAAGTATTAGTTTAATATAGTTTCTTAAAAAGTATACTAATTAACTCATTTTAATCTAATTCCTTCTAATATAATACAAAAGTTCAGTTTAGAGTCTTTGCGGTTGCTCTTCACACTTACAACTAATTTCTTATTCATTTATTGTTCGTTTGTCACAAAGTTACCTCTGATACTTTCTATCATATTTATTCTAATGCTACTAAAATTATACTGCAATCCCACATATATATTATTATATGTAAATAATACTAGCAAGCGACGCCCTTTACCATTTGGCAAATATTTTTAAATTTGTTAATTTAGATAAACAACAAACTGATTACCACTAAGTGCCAAGCAAGGAGTCGATTGTGTATAAAATGACAATAAAAATAGTAAGCATTCTTAACTTTCTCCTCTGGTGTTGATGATGCAAGCATATACACATATACATGCTTTCTTAAACCAACTGCAATTAAATTGTATGAAATTATAATTGTCATTTTTCAGCATAATAAAGACAATCCTCAGTGTGCCTTAAATATTATATGTTGACTTTCATAAGAATCCGCTGCAACTTCAGCACGGCACCAAATGCATAGGGTTTTATTTGTAAACTTCGCTTTCTTTAATTAAATTTGCATAGAACAGCAAGCTTATAAACAACAATCCACAGTACATACAAGTACTTACATACATAAATAATAATTTCTATAGCGCAAATAAACACCATTCGCTGAACCTGAGCCATCAGAACGGCATGCCGCGACAGCCAAACGGCAATAGCAAGCAATTAGAGAAAGGAAGCTGCCGACTTGGCTCCTGACAACTCAGTTATATTATAATTACCGTAAAACAGTTGTGTGTGTTTGTTGCTGAAACAAGTGCATAAGCGAGATTCGAGGATCCCTTTTTCTAGGAAATATTTGTGCTCTAGGGTTAGGGCAATATGAACATATGTATGTTTGCATGTGTACTATGTTTACCAAAACACTTTGCAGCTTAACAAGTTCACACCTAACCAGACATCAAGCATATACACAAGCATACATACACACACTTAAGCCGTTTGGCCGATTCAACAATGGTGTATTTTCAACTTTTATTTTATTACTTAGACATGTAAAATTAAAATCTTGATTGAAAGCAAAGAATCAAGAATGAGAAATTTTATACAGTATGGCCAAAAACTGTATTGATCCTGTCAAGGTGTTTCAAATACATACAAATTTCTTAATGAAATAACTCGAGATACTGCGGAACGGATCACAATATCCTAAAAGTTCTCAACCGAATTTTCTCAATTCAATTTCTTAAGCTTTTAATGTTTGGTGGGTTTGGTATCGTCATTATGTTGGGATATCTTCCTTTGTGGCATTTACTACTCGATATTACATCTCTTGAAAATTATGATATGTAACCTAATCGGTTCCCTATATCCATATCTGATAGTTACTAGCCTGGGACTCTTTTGCCCTTATTACTTTTTGACTGAACAGTACAAAAATGGAAAACTTTATTAATGCTTAAAAGTAAAATACGGTCTATCTGAAATATATATTATTGCTATATTAAAAATTATTTCATTCAGTAATTTTTATTTGAAACAGCATGAGTGGGGTACTTAAGTTTTACCAAATACTGTACATATTATTTTCGGGTGAAACTATTTATGTTGTTATATATATTTTATGAGAAAACGGTTTTTTTATTAAAAAGTATTCATTTCAGCGAGAAAGCTTAAGTCGCACTCAGCTTAAGTGTTCACTAGCAGCGTCTGTCCCCCTAAGGTATGGCGGTCTTGAGGAAAGCGGCTGACTATATGTAAGTATGTTCTATTGTAAGCTTGGAACACACCATTCAGAAACCAGCTTCAATGAAAATGGAAACAACAATGTCTCGGATGATTGACCTTTAAAATGATTTTAATTAGCTGAGTGATGCCCATGGCTTCGAAGCCAAAAAACTGACATCATCTGATTATCGTGACGATCAAGGAGAGAGCGTCCTTGTGGTATTTACAATAGTGTCTATAAAATCATCATGCCTTATTGTGTCCGTCAACAAACAGAAGGAACGTTCAACGTCGGAAAGCAGCAATCACACCGGTAAGTTCTTCTGCTCGACTTGCACTCTGCTTTCTGAGATCACAAGGATTTTAATTGGTATAGAAATAGTGGGACGGTATTTCAAACTCTCTGCGCACCACAGTTACCTAAACTATTTGGTTACGGCAAGGTTAAAAGAAGAGCCAGTATGATGATAATTGCAGTACCGTAATGGAGATATAAGAAACTATAGCAACATGGTGAAGGGCCGCATTTGCGAATATATAAAATGAGTAAGGAAGATGAGTTTGGGATGCTCGCCGACTTGGGTAATGCCCGAAAATTCTGTGAAAAAATATGGCTTGAAAATCAAGGCATATTCATATAGGAAGTAATCTGGAGATCGATTTCCAGAGTAATGCGACAACTACCCACTGCTAACAGCGAAATGTTGCTAGCATACTTTTAAACAAATTAATCATTTTCATCAACGGCTTTTATAACTTATATATCGTTGAATACACTTCTTTTCGTTTATATTGCGCTCTCACAAGATAGGCTGCTATGGACGGAAGGTATGTAAGATGGGTTGTTGCAGCAATACGAAATAGAAGTTCCATTACCAGACAATGAAGATCTCCAAATAGCACTGAGATACTTAAAATACATAAAAACGACGAAAATGTTGGCTTATAGATTTAAAGCTGACAAGTCCGACTGGAACCTGAGTTTGCTGGGTCCAAGGGGAGGGACTAAATCCTGGGTGATATATCTTTTATGTCGGTATGTTAACGCTGAATAACTTTCACATTTACCAACCTAGAGATTGCATCAGATATGTTTTGGAAACGTCAACCGAAAGAACGCGCTGAAATAGCCACACTTAATATCGAAAACATTCGTTCCATTGTGTTAACTCAAAGTATATATCGGAAAAAATATCTCAGCAAAAAGGCATCATCTGACAGATCACCAGATTTCACCTCCCTGGACTCGTTTTTGTGGGTTTATCTAAAGAGCAAGGTTTTCGCCAACCAGCCTCAAACTAGTGATGAGCTCAAGGCAAACATTCGTGCTGAAATCGACGCCAAAACACCAGAGATGCTCGGAAAGTTAATGGCAAGAGCAGAAAAAAGGAGTCATTATGTAATTTCTAATAAAGGTAGCAACTTGATTGATATTCTTTTCAAAAACTAGTCCAGAAAAAATGTAAGGAACCAAACTGAATAAAAATACATCACTTATAGAAATCGGTTTTTTTCCTCAAAGTTATTCAAGGTTTACATACCGTTTGTGCCAATTACCTGCAATATCATATATGCCACGACGTCTTCGAACTGATTGGAACTTACCAGTGTGTCTTTTGATCTGGTAGACCCTCGATGGAGAAAATATTCACATCCTAGAAGATATCCGTGAGAAACGCAACTAAAAACATCGTTGTCAGTGTCAAAACCATCTTGGGTAGCATGAAACGGAATAGAAGGATCTCTCGTTATTGCCGCTATAACCACTCGCCTACAACAACGAATATAAGCTGGGATGATCAAATAGATGTAGAGGTCAACTTTTTTCAATTTTCAATCAATTTATTTTGCTTATAATTTGAAATAAATGACTAAATATGACGGTAACGTTCTTTATTAATATTGCTCCTTTCCTATTATTTGTTATCTTCGTAGCACTTGATTTGTAATTTCCATTCTATTTCCTTTGCAGAGCTCCACATTGATTCAACTTTGGATTCTACAAAAGATAATTAAAATTATACAGTCATTTTTAATATTAATGAAAGATATTTAGTAGAATAGAGCAGCTTTCAACTAAAGCGATAGCGAAGCGAATGCGTTTTAGTTTTTTTGTATTTTTATTTGCATATAGAAAGACAAAAAACTTTTGGTGAGAACTCCTAGGGAGAGCTCAGTGCCCACCATAATAGTTTGTAAGCATATTATATTTAAAACAAAATAAAATTAAAAATTGCTTATTTTTTCGTATATACGAGTATTTTGTTTGTTTATAAAACTTTCTAGAAAATAAAATTATGTACTTAAATGAAAAATGACGCTCCATTCCATATGGCAACATGATTAATAGACTAAATGTTGTTAGTGGCCGCTTCAACGTGTCGAACTTAGAAATGCTTTAGCTAATTAAATCAGTAAAAGTATAAACAATATTTTACTAAGCACGCGAATTCAAATATTCCATCAGAGTATAACATAAAAAGCGTCAGGGTGGAATGCAAATGTCCCATTTTCAATAAATTGCATTCTTGTCTGCAGCGACCTGGTGGTCGTCCGCCTGATGGTCTTTTAGTCAGCGTAGATGTTGCATGTATGTATTTGAGCGTATGTACATACATATATAATTTCTTTTAATTAAGGCAAAAATCCGCAATAAATACAGCAAAGAGCGTAGACTTGTGGCTAAACCACTGTTGAATGTACCGAAGAGACGTACGTGAGCAAAACTAATTAAGAAGCAGTTTTTCGGTTTTAATGGTGAAGGAATTGCGCAAGGACGGAGCACCTGTCCTGTGTATACTTGTTAAGGACATCAAATGGTATTAAAACTTTGTAACGGCAATTTTAATTCGAAAAATGTGAACGAGATGAGATGCTCGGCGAGATAGCTATCTCAGTTTTTGAGATATCGTGAAGCCATGCTGTCCTTCGCCTGAAATGAAAATTTATTCCTAAAAAATTTGAAATTCGTTTTTTCAATATTACCAGAACACCTGAACTAACAATACTTTTGTGATGTGTATATCCGTATTAAATTTTCTGACATATAGCGCCAATGATTGTAAAGGGGTTTCCAATAAGAGGTGGTATTTTGAATAGCCTGCTATTATGGTAGATGTTAGTTTTGAGGCTGTAATGTTTTGACATGTAAAAACTACTCCTATATGCTTGTTGAAATTAGCCTCCCATCCGAAAAATGTTACTGTTTGGTGTGGTTCATGGTCAGGCTGAACCCCTGAGCCTCTCTTTTTCGAAAATAAGCCTGGAGCAACATTACGGTGAATGTATTTCGCCATCGAGAGACAACTAATGATTTTCATGGCAGAAAACCAAGTTCAAGGGAAAAGTTTCTCTGTGTCTATCAAAATACCAACTCTTATTGGGAAAACTCTTTATTTCATGAACTTTCAGAAAAAATTAACTATCAAATAAATATCAATTTTAAATTAATTAAGAATAATTAAAGAAACTACAATATAAAACATCAACGTACTCTTTACATATACACATGTACTTGCATATTCTTACTCGAATGTACCGTTGTTTGATTGGACAAGTTTTGAACATGTGCATTTGATCTAATTCTAGAGTAGTATCACACAGACACCGCGGAACCCCCAAGTGTTTTCGCTACTGGGGAGAGGAGAGTTATCGGCCGATAGGACTCTTCTTTGTTGGCTAGTTTCCCCGTTTTGAGTAGCGGGACCACCCTGCCCATTTTCCACATATCGAGTATCATTAAGGTGATCAAAGACAAATTGAGGACCCTCGTGCGAAATTCTGCTCCCGCTGGTCCTAGGTGTTTGAGTATTGATTTGGAGGCTTTCGCCTTCCCGATGACCTCCTGAGCCTGCTCCCTGGAGGAATCAAGCACAGCACAGGTGTTTGTCAGTTTGCGCATACGGCGGGTAACACGTTGCTTCGCTTTGTCTGCCAAGGGATGCAGTGTGAAAAGTCGGCTAAAATAGGTCGCTCATCTCTACGGGTCCGACGAGGCGCGATCACCGTTAGAGAGCGACTTGACTCTCACGACAGCACCGAAGTTGACCCAGATTTTATCCGGCCACCAGCTGTCACCTTTTGAGCGACCTAACCCCGTTTAGGCCAATAGGTAACTTTTAAAAATTTTATATTGTCCAATTTATATAATCTTAAACATAATGTCCAAATTTATTCAAAATATCATCAATTTTAAGGAATTTATATATACATATGTAAATATTATTATAGATTTGCAACCGCTGAAGCGATTTTCGGTCGAGCTCCTCTTTCCAAGTAGAACGACCTACGGCTTATACTAAGCCACATCCGAACGTCTGGTAGTCTTTTTATGAGAAGCATTTTTATTTCATATCAAAAATGCTCTCAAATAGGAAACAGAACTTAAATTTTCATTTACATTAAATTTCTATAATTTTTAGATGTTGGCCGGAGCAGAAACCTTAAAATTAGAGCATAAAATAAACAATGCTCGTATGTTGAGCACATTTACCCCGTTGTGTGTTGCTTATTGCAATGCTTCCTTTGCATATCTATCAAATTGGTTCAGACAATTTGCTGAGAACGTAGCTTAATCGTGAATAACACAGTTTTTAAATACCTGGCCTTTGCCCCAGTTGGGCAAAGTTGATTGAAATGTTGTCGGTTTCACGAGAAACAACAGATTATGTCCAATTCTCCGAACAGAGTAAGGCCTTGCACCTTCTTAGGGGTTCTTAATGAATATCCAAATTAGCCATAAGTAAGTGCAATTAATCAGGAATTTATTTAAAATATTATATGTTTACCACTTTGTGCAAAGAGTTCATTATAAATCATCCATTACCTAAAACAAAACCATTTTGTGCAATGAAATTCTGACAAATATTTCAATTTTTTTTTTTTTGCGATTGTTTTTTTTTTTCAAAACTATTTGATCACAGAACAAAACCATTTTGAATTCTTTCGGCTACACTTTAAAAGCTAATCCTGTAGTATAACGAACAGATTTTTTAACATTGCGATTTCACTAATGTAATTATTAATTATCTCAAAATTTAAGCAAATGGAATGGAATCAAATAAAGTAAATAAATTTGGGATCTTGTTTAAATTGTAATTGATTTTTTCTAAGGACAAACGTTTATAGACCTTGCTTGGAGTTCCAAGGCGCGACACAATAATCAGTGAGAGACATAAATTTTCGTGCAATAATTATGCAGAATATCCCCAATAATAGCTCAAAACTTTTACCTAACATACATACTTTTCTACCTTCTCTTTGGGATTTTGCGATGTGTTTTAATTTGACAAATATCGTTGTCGTCCCGTCGCATGGTAAGTGTTCATTGTTTGATGCTCATACAGTTAAGTGCAGTGTAATGTAAGCCAGGATGTCAGTTTATAATTCCCCACTTTGCAAACCAAATTCATTACTTGAAAATCAAATAAATAATACGAGACATAATATTGTATAATGTGAATTTAGTAAACAGTGATCTACTTAATTATTTTTAGTATTATTTGTACTAAAACTAAAATACAACGATTAAAATTGAAAGCATTACGAAACATCACATGCGCACGAGAATGCACATACATATATTGTACATATATATAAAGACTTTGACTATATAAACAGAATTGGCAAATAACTGGTAAGAATATCTGCCGAAACTGCAAAATCATTCGAGTCCCCTAGGAAACATTTTATTCTACCCAGCAAACCGAACGCGGCTTTTGAAGATCAATGATTTATCCGTCGTCCATTACTCCTAATGGGCTACATCTACTATATTATAACAAATTTAAAACTCTTTGTTAGGCTTTAATTACGTAGATTCAATAAATAAATATCCTTCGTCTTGTGAAGAAAATACCACAATCTGCAAAAAGCACATTATTGAGTTGGGTCTATTTTAGGAATTCATGAATCAACACATTCACACATGTGTTCATTATTGTCATTTAGTAAGAGGTCCGCAGTGAAATGCATTTAATACATAAACGTGCATACCCTGCAACTAAGAGCTGAACTATTACGTAAAAATTCTAGTTAAATACTAATACTTTGCGGATGAAATCATATTAGTTGTTTATTTGCCTTGTGGTTACTAATTTTTTATTTACTTAATTATTGATTTTTTTGATGAAGTAGAAATTCCACATGCCCAAATGAAATGGTTTAAAACTGGTATGAAGCTGATGCATAGTTTGACGATCGTCAGCTCGCAATACTTCACCGTGTTACCAATTCCTTACATGGGAAATAGATGGAAGATGAACTAGTAAGTGCAAAACTGCATACCAATTGGATTCCAGTTAACAACTAGTGTCTAAGTGGGGAAGTATGTGAAATATATTCAAGATGAGCACTCGGCACGTTTCACAAATACGTGGGTTTTACCCAATGCCATAGGAAGCACCTGACGCTTCGCAGACGCCAATCACATACCGCTCAACTCAATTGAGCTGGGATAGGAAGAAGCAAACCAGATCTGATAGTCAGATATCTGATCTGAACCATAAGATGGTAAATTCCATTGCAAACAATGAACACTTTAGCAGTATCATTTCGCTGATATTTGAGAATTGCCTTCTTGCATATATGCAAGGAACTCACATACATAGTGCACAGTGAGACTATTCGTTCCCATTAGTGAATCTGTAAACCAAATTTTAGTAGTATCAGAGAAGTTCAACATACATACATATCTGTCTAGATTTTCAAAGATTTTCAAGTATCTTTTTTACCACCATTGAAAAATCTTCGCTGTCGCAGATTTGCCATTATACACCAGTTTTGTCCACCGAAACACCTTTTTCTGGTTCAAACTTAATAATTATTATAGAGTTTTTAATTCAGTTTCTTTGAATGGCCAAAATTGAAAACAAAAAATATATAAATTTTAACTTTAGTGTATGTATGTGGATATGTAGTTCGCGAAAATTCACAATTGGGCTTGGGTGGACCTCGGATATAATTACTCTACTAAACTTTCTTGAGTGCAAAGAAGCTCCAGATGTTGCTACCTACAACGATGAAGCTGTTATTAAAAATAGAAAAACTTAATTTGGAGAGCAGAAATTGCGTTTTTATTAGTTATTGAATACAAAAAAGAGCGAAGTTTATAAATTTACATATTTTTGCTTTAATGAAAAATTAACTTCTGCTGACTTTCATAACTCGTACAAAATAATGGAATATATCGAAAACCATAAAGAC